CACCAGTGCACAGTGTTCTGCCAGATCCATGAGGGCCATTACATCTCTGTTCCTATTACAGTATTCATAGATTTTTATTGCTTGTTCTATAAGATTTTGTTTAATGTGAAATAAACAGGTTTAGGAGGCTATTTCCCATCAATGATTCAGGAAGCATATTTTTCTTCAAAATATGTACAATACACAAAACACAAAGGTCCCATTCTATAAATAACACCTTTCTGGCATCATTGCAAAATAAATTGCTATTAGGCGTTGTTTATTTTTAACAATTTATTCATAAGATGTCACAAATACGAATCACAGTAGGAAACAACTGAGAGGGAAAGTAACTGCAGAGTGCATAGGGCAAAGCTTCAGAGTCACATAGTTCCATTTCTGAGCTGAGCTCCAAATACAAGAGATTTCTAGAAGCTCCAGTACAGGGAGCAGTTAAAATGGAATGGGCCAGTGGGACCAAAAAATGACCAAGGCTCAGCATGAGTCAAGCTCTAAAACCAAAGGTTGTGATGAGGGAGCTCTGAGATTGCTCTGCTATCCTGTAACAATATCATGCAAGGAAGCATTCCCTGGAGATCTCTCTGTCTGCAGATGGAAAGGGAATGGGCACTGACTTTAATGAAGACACATTACTTTGACACATCCGTTAAAGCTCACTGTTTTGCACTGTCATTAATTATTTCAAATCCAGCCAGATATAGTCTGCAATCCAAAAGTGCCTGTAAAAAGCTCACCTTCTGCTAATATATGTAAGTTCAACAGTATTTGCCAATTAATCATTAGAATTATAGAATGGTTTGGGCTGGAAGAGACCTTTAAGATCATTTAGTTCCAACCACCCTGCTACAGTAAGGGACAACTCCCTCTAGACCAGGTTGCTCACAGCCCCATCCAGTCTGGCCTTGAAGGCTTCCTAGAAGGGGGCATCCACAATCTCACTGGGCAACCTGTGCCAGCATCTCACCACTCTCACAGCAAAGAATGACTTCCTAATATCTAGCTTAAATCTACCTTCTTCCAGTTTAAAACCATTTCTCCTCATACTTTGTCTACATGCCCTTATAAGAAGTCCCTTCCCAGCTTTCCTGTAGACCCCCTTCAGGTACTGGAAGGCCACTATAATGTCTCCTCTGAGCCTTCTCCTCTCCAGGCTAAAATGCTCCAGCCATCTCAGCTTGCCAGTTTCAGTACTCTTGCAACATACATACATCATACATATATAAATATATATATATATATATATATATATATATATATATATATATAAAATGCATAAAATGCATTTTAAAATTCAGAGATTATTTACTTTGTTCCTGCAAACACAGATCAGCCACGAGACAAAGCTGATATAAACTGAGGTGGCTTGCAGGCAACAATTCAAATTCAAGAAGAATATGCAGTATTTCATATCCTTAGCCTAAACACTAAATATTTTGTATAAACACAGTACTAGTTATCAAGATCACAAACACGAAGTGTAAAAATCTGGCTTTTGATACAGGCTGCTTAGAAGGGCCAATTGAAGAGAAAATCCTTACTGTGTTTGTATTTTATTTGAAAGCACACCAATGATCGAGACGCTGCAACTGTGAACGGTTTCCTTCTAACAAAAGGCACCAGCATCAGCTAACAAATGTGCACCTGACTGACATACTAGTTGAGTATTAATAGGAGTAATGCCAGTAATGCCACAGAATGCATTAAAGAAGATACTGCTGTAGGACTCCTCAGCAAATCTAAAGGCAGAATAAGTAGAAGTCTCAGCATACAATCTTAATGCATGCGATGATTTACTGAATTCCATGTAAAAATTTACCTAAACAGAACATAAAGCATTTTGAGTCCATCAGAGAAAAAAAAGTAAGCATTCTACTACATGAAAAATGTCTATAAATATTTTTCAAAAATACAGAGTATGATTTCAATAGGTAGTTCAAATATAAGGCCAAAAATAGGCTGGTTAATTATCTCTGATTTTCTTATTTGGTTCAAACAAAGCACAGTGGTGTCGGGATGAGGTTTTCTCTCAGAATCAAGTAGCAGAAGAAACTGGTGTTAAATATGACAACATATCATCACTATCTGTGTATGAAATCTAAAAAACACTGCATTATGATTTCTTTAAAGTGGGAACTAAACCTCATCACTGACCTAAAGTCATTCAATTAATCCCAGTCAGTATCTCAGTGAGAAATGTTTTAGCTAATAACCAAGCTACTCACTTTGCTTCCTACTTCAGGAAGCAAGATATATACAGAAACATCTAGAGAACCATCTCCAATGAAATTCATTTGACCTAAAGGAAACTCAGCTTGTTGCCCAGAAGCTGAAAAGCAGAATTCAAAAGTAAATCGCAAATTTGTTTTTCTGCACAAGTCTGCATTCAGCATCTGCAAGTCCACTCCACATAACAGTGCCTTATTTCCAAAAAGTGTCATCATTATTGTCATTATGGTCAAATTGCTGTACTATTTTTTCTTACATCAGCACAGTTATGTAAAGCAGTATGCTTAGTAGCCATACATGCATGACTTTTTTTTTCTCTATTCCACCTGATATTTTTAATTCTTATTGCAGGTATTTTACAATGGATAGTCTTCTTTCCTATTTGTTGTTATGCAATAGTGCCTATTAGTAATTCCCTACAAATATTCTTGCTTTGTTCCAATCATTTTTACTATCTTCAGTGTCTAATTTATACAAAAAAATAAACTGTTTCAAATAAGCAGATTCATACTAAATCAGATTTGTAGTTATGTATGAGTGATGTAACTAAAACTCTGAAGAGGTCTTAAGCTTTTACTGCCTAAATTATTGTTAGCCAAAGATAGTACTCATCTTTTCATTACTGGAAATGGAAAGGTGACAGGACATTTAACAATGAGGTACTTATTTTCACAGACCCTGCTCCTTGAGCAATAAATAGATTCATTAGGGGGGAAAAATGGAGAAAGAAAAAAGAGGGGAGAGATAGGAGGAAGAAGGGAGAAAATTAAAAAAAAATAAAATAAAATAAAAAGAGACAAAAATTTTAAAGAGAAAATTTGAATCCTTTTATACCTCCTGTGTTCACAGTAAATAGTCACAAGGCAAGCACACCTTTTCTTTTTTATAACCTTCATTGGATCAGTAGCATGGTCATATAAGACGCAATAATCACCCCAGAAAGTCAGAACAGTTATTACTAGTAGATCTCTCCAACACTCTGCCCACACACATACACACCTTATCTTTCCTTTCCTAAATAGGCAGTTTGACGGTATTAGACGCTCTGCACAGGAGACGGTTGCATCAAATCCATAGTAAGAAATTCAAAACATTCAGCCAATTGCAGTCTCTTTCCTAAGGCAATTTAGCAAGGTTATACTCTGTTAATAACTTATCCTCAGAAATAATGACATTTGTATTATAAAATTGAGAAAGAGAGGGCACTTTATAGATAAGTGCCATTTATTCAAAATGCTTTCATGTTAGAAACCATTTTATGGGTGCCCTTTAGACACTAGCACATCTCTACATTTCAGCAATTATTCATCATTTACACATCCATAATTTGAGAGAGTTTTAAACTCGAAATGATTAAGAAGCTCACACCCTGCTTCAAATGGGTGAACCAGTCTTGATAACACCTCGTATCTAAGAGATTCTAAATAAATTAAATAATGAGTGGGGAAGCATGAACCTTCCCTACTCTGACTGTGAACACGGCATAAAGTAGCAATAGTCTCCCAAATCTAGGATATAAGACAGAAATCTGTCTCACAGTCACAAAATCCCCTGTTACCATAGTGATGGGGACTGAACAAATGACTAAAAATACCTGGTCCTATTCACACTGTCTTAGGAATGTGACCTAAATGACATGTAATACATGATTTTCCATAATAAATTAATTGCATTTACTAGGAGCCAACACCGAGAAGCAGCATACTGTGCAAAAGTACAATGTGTAGTCAGACACTCAAAGAGATCACCTTCATCTCAAAGATGCAGCCTGAACAGAGACATAGCTGGAAGACAGCAATGTATATATATGTCATAAAAAGAAATCCCATGTAGGTCATTAACAAAGAAAAGGCACCAATTAAACACGATTTTCTCTCACTAAAGGAAGGATTCCAAAAGCATTCTTTCAAAACGCTGATGTATGGGATTAATTGTAACCTCCAAAGTTCACCAACTGCAAGATCCTCTGTGTTGAGGTGGATGTAAAAGATGTAAAACTTAAGACACAGTAATATCTGTGTTTATATCAGCTTTCGTTCACAGCACCTATATATGTCATTATAAAACAAAAGCATGCTACCGTAGAGGAGAAATGGATAATGGCATCTCCCAATTCACACTGTAAGGCTCTCAAAGAGGCTGCCTCCACAAGCTTTACCCAAGAGCTGCTGATGAGCAGTAAGCGCAGAGTATTGCAGGTTCCCCAGCTGACTACCCCAGGAAAGAGAAAAGACAGAAGGAAGATAAGACTAGCTTTATGTGAAGGGCTTAATTTTTTAAATATTTTTATTTTTTTTCTATTTTTAAAGGGCAATTTCCTCCCTTCTGTTTACAGTACATTATACCTTGACTCATGGCATCTTATTCTATTTACATTCATCTATTCATTTGTGAATGTTTTTAAAATTTATTTGGGCTTTGTTTCTTAAGAGTGATGAAAAGCAAGTACCACTGACATTACAAAACAAGGAATAAGGCAAGTGTTTTTCCTGGAGGCACCTGCAAGTGCAGACCTGCTACAAACTTTCTCTTCATTCTCTTACTACATTTCAAGATATTATGGAGCTGTAGTCCTGCATTGTTAGACAAAAGGCAATTCAACAAAATGTACTGTATTTCATGTGTAAGGATAAAATGATTCATTTCCAAAAAGAACATGAACTATGCTTTTAAGAACAGTAGCTTCATGACACAATGGAAACAAATGACTCAAAGTCTACACTTGCATTTGAACTTTTTGTACCATTGCAAAGCATTTTTAAATAACAACTCGCCTGGAAAGACCAGCTGAAAGATCCGCTGTACTCCGCTGGCAGGTATAAAATATCCACAGTCTCTAAAATACTCAGGTAGATGATTTCTGTCCATTTTTTGGCCAAACTCCCTCTTGGAAAACATTGCTTCATAAACTAAGAAGAGAAGATCCCATTAGATATGTAGATACGATATGCTATTAGGCACCAATTTTTCTAGAAATATTTTCTTTAGGATCAAGTTAATTCATTTGGTAAACTAAGTATGGAAACCATAGGCCTGTGTGGAAATGTGATGATTAGGTAGCTTGCTGATGGCTGAATTTTGCAATAAGTGAAACTCGCATCATCCTTACCAAGCACCAAAGAGAACAGATAGGTTGAAAGAATTCTCTCCCCATATAAGGATTTCTCAGCAAGGAAAGCTGATGAACCAGTCCCTGCAAGACAAGGCTCGTAGAAATAGGCTGAGGAAAGTGGATAACTACAGCGGTTCTTACTCTTTTTTACTTGGCAAACAAGCTCTAAAATAGTATATTAAATTGTTGCCCCTAAAATAAAATGCAGATGAAAAAACTCCCAGTGTAAGACATTGCCTCTAGTAATGTCATAATGGAGATGCCTGTAGGTGCACAATTAGAAAAAAACAGAGACATGTACATTCAATTATTTTTTTGACAAATTCAATATATTTAAAAATATAGCTTAGTCAAATACACTAACTCATAGAGATAGGCACTGCGTGGTTAGTTTGCACTGCTCAGGGAGGATAAAGTATGAATTAAAAATGGAAACCCTTAGTCATCTAGACTTTGAGGTCCACAGCTGATCTACCTACCCCACACATTTTTTTCAGAACTGCTGCCAAAAATCTTCATCCCTGAGAGACAGAGGTTATCTGTCTAGCTAAACTTACTATCTACTAATAGACCAATGATTTTCCTCTAAGGGTTAACAGAAATAGATCAAATTACATTCTACGCTATGTGTGAGCATCTGTAATGTCTGTTTCTGTCTTCACCAAAGAAGAGCAAATTAATGTCAATTTAGTATTCCAGAAAAACAGCATCTGCCTTTTAAGTCAGACTTTGCACTCTCATTTTTGAAGATCGTAACAACAAAACAACAACAAAAGACAATATACTGAGCTGCAATATCCTGTCATATCTACAAAGATGCTTTGAAGGTATAACGTTAAGACTTCCTGTTAAAGCACTAGTGACAACAACTGAAAAGCATGTCATCAAAATACGAAGAGCAGTACAAATTTTTCAGCTAGCCAACATCACCCAGTGTGTTATGAACTACTCAGCCTGGAAAAACAGATACACTTTTTCAGGAGGATTTAGACTACGTTCTAGGAGTTAATTAGTTTTACTGTTTGTTTTTTTTTCATAGCATATTAGGGAAAAAACTCATTTCTGCATATAGTATTTAAAGTATATACATATATATTTCATATGTGGTGATAGGAATACAAGACCTGATTAAGGAATTTTGAAGTAAACATTGAGACTATGTCATGAACATCCAGAAGCTACTTTTTCCAAAGGTATAAAACTTTATGTATGTAGACTCAAAGGACTGAATGAAAATTGGAATCAAAATTTAAACAATTAATACATTTCATGTTCAAAAGGTGTAAGAATCAATCAGAATCAACTTTTAGTTGGTACTATATTTTTATTTCTCTCAAATGCTTATTTAGAGTAGAAAAAATAAAGCAGCACATCTAAGTCCAATGTAGAGTGCTATTGTTTTGTTGCATAGTTGAAAACTTTAATTTTTGTTTTCTTAGTTTTTCCTATCAGGAAAGCTATTTACTGTATGCTTTCACCTAATCTTGCAGCCACGTCTTCCACTGGAAGAGGAATTTGAAGGACAATAGATTATGTAAAAAGGAAATTTAGATTATATTTTTGCAGTCTGAACTGCTTTTTCTTTTCCTTAATATCTTCCCATATCATCTGGGTAATAAGAATGACACAAATATATTCAAAACTATGCAAAAGTCAGTGAGCAGGGCATTTGGAGTTAAGAAACAGGCAGCTTTGATATTAGTCAACTATTTCCTTGTATTTCAATGTTTTTTGCTTACTTATCATGAGAACCATCAAGAAAAGCAGCCTTCAAGCTATTGACATCTATGCTCCTCTCAGTCATTGCAGTTTACCTGTTGTGTCTATGAGTTTTGTAACATGCAGATGAACTATAACATGTATCCTCACTATTACACTTGCTTGACTGTACAGGATAGTCATCAAATAGGAAAAACATATCAAGTGTAAAATTAGTTCCATGAATAAAATTTTCAATACATAGATTGCTCAAAAAATCTACAACGGTACCTTCTTTTGAAGTCACTAGACATCTTGCTTCGCAACATTACACAATGCTGCCCATCACTTAACAGTTAATTAGGGTCTGAGACCACATCACGTTGACACAATAATGATACTATTAATTTCTTTACCAAATGACTGGAACAGTCTCTTTATTCAAATTAAATCCTACAGTTCTGAAGTTCTGGAATGATGTTTTAGAAATGCAGCTGTCTGTAAGGGGAAATGAAATCTGCCTTGTACCAAAAACCATTTAAAAATGATTGTGTTGTGAACATGGAATATTACTTAACAAGTGCCAGACTACTGGAATTAAAATTAAGGTAATTTTGTGTTAAATGCAATTACTTACATTTTTTCTTGTCCATCCACTCCTCTAATTCAAAATAATGAAGTGGTGTAGACAGATCCAAAACACCAGCTCGACTTTTAATGCGTGCCATCATGTTACGGTAGCACTTCACAGCTGCTAGTAAGGATGACCCATGACTTGCTGACTGTAATTAAAGATATTTTTCACTTTCATTACTCATTACTAAAAGTGACAAAAAAAAAAAAAAAAAAAAAAAAGATGAGATGGAGTGGAGAGGTGTGCAGCACAAAGGAAAAATCTTAAAGAAAACAAGAATAAATTCCACTGCTGTAAACACTTGGACAGAATTGTGAAAACAATTACTCCACAGAACTAATGCAAAATAGTCCATTCCAGAGCTGACTAGGTAAAACTATTAGATAAAACTTTTTTTGGATAAACACATTTTATTCCAAATTATATAAGTAGGTCAGGAATTGTGTAAAATAGGCAATACTATCTGCAAAGTCTGGAACAAGGTTCTGTATCTCAGCAGAGGAAAAGTGGAACAGTGAACAAGGTGAGAAACTTTATGTTCAACATTTGGTTTTTGATTTAAAGTATGTCATCGGAGGAAAAATACATATTTGTCTCCTGCAGCCCAGAAGTAGATATTAAGACATGTAGTTTTACCTCATTCTTAATTTTATCACCAGCAAAAACTGCTTCTTCTCTTGTATATAAGGTGAAGGAACATTTTTAAAGGTTGATGATTACCAAATAATATGACCTGATTTTTACAATCTATTCTAGGATTCTGGAAAACTAATAAAATAGATAGTTTAATGAATGACTCAGTTCCTACTTGACCCACTTACTTCAATGAGATACATATTTTCTTATGGCATTCTTCTGAGACAAGAGGCTTAGATATCACTAGAAAAATGCTATCTTAACTGAAGTTGTTCAGCCTCCACAAGCATCCAACCTGCAATACGCATAAACTCTTCTAACTTGATATGAACTCTGAGATTGAAATCAGAAGTGTGTATGGTGGCATTGGTGTTATATCATTTCTAAGGAAATGACATTTCATTTAGCAATACTTGCTGAAAAACAAGAACAGTAACTACACTGTAGAATCCATGTTTTTTGTTCAGTAGTTCAAGCATAAAACAGAGGAAAAAGAGTGCAATAACAGTCTGCTATCCATATCTTGTTTACCTCAAAAACTGCAAGTCCTTTAATTAACAATACAATACACATATATAACAACAGTATTTAAAGGCAAAAGAATCATAAGTCACACAGGCTATTCTCTTCTAAAAATAATGGAGAGAATTCTTACAATCAAGTGATAGAAACAGGTTCCAGCAGAGAACTCACTATCAGTGAATTACCTCTGACCTTGAAGGTGCAGAAGAGCAATGGCAGACAAATGGATAGCTGAGCACAGGTTTTTTTCATTGCCAAATAGTAATAATTCTTACACAACTAGAATTTAAGCAGTACATGGATTAAACAATCAAAACATTACCTTAATCTTTACTCTCATGTACGCCCTACGTACAAGCCACCCTCTCACATATCTTTGAATGCAAATGACTGCTTTAAGTTCTTCTCTATTCCTAGGATGCTTTTTACTATCACAAACAGCTTCAAAGATTTCTGGGTGAGTTACATTCTTCTTCAGCTTCTTCTGTGTTTGAAGGGAAAGGCATTTATCACTACAAATTGAAGTACAGAAAATTTGTTTTTCAGTTTGGTAGAAAAATGTTTGAAATATGAATCAAAATTCTAGTACACAAATTTCAGGTTGTACTTAAAATAATTACTAAATCACATACAAACCTCTCACTTACATGAATATATTGAAAAGACTGAAATGAAACTGATGGTAATTTACCATTTACAATTACAGAATAACCATCCAAATCTATTTGACAAATATTTTGTTACAGATGCACAGATGAGCTGAATTCTCATGTTTTTGTAAACGATAAGGATTAAGCTACTATAAACATTTTTAATATTTTCAATTCCTATTCAATTGCACAGCTTTTTCCATCCATCCCAGGAGTATGCAAAAAATGTACCTAATGTAAAAACCACTTTTCTGAAGTAATGACTTTGAGTCAGGCTAAAAAAATAAATTTTTATATACATATATAAATTTCAATTTTTATATACATGTATAAATTTCATATACATATTTCATATATATATATATTTCTTACAAAGGATATAATACCTCCAGTAGATAGACCTTCTGACACCCTTAAGTATCCCTTCTATCTAAATGCTAACTTTCATAGCTTTTATTAATGTGTCGGGAAATTAGTCAGGAAATTTTCCATTAAATTTCAAAAGAAAAAAAAAACAAAAAGAAACCCAAACATTTTACAAGTACATAGAAATGTATTAAAGTCAATCCTTTTCATAAGTACATACAAAGAAAGGCTGTATTGGAGTTTTTCCTTTCAAAATAAGATAGCAAAAACACCAGACCCAAGGAGATACTCAATGACCTCACCTGTATACGTTTCTGTCACAGAGAAATTAATAAAAAAAATCATATTTAAACCCAAAAATATATCAATTTTGTCTTAATTAAAAACAAACAGACCAAAAAAAAAAAAAAAAAAAAAAAAAACAACCAAGAAATTAACTAATTAACTCTCTAAAGTGGTTAATCAAAGCACTAGATTTTGCATTTGAAGCTGTGTAACTGGCAGAAATTTAAACTGAAATATAGCTGAGTATTTTCTCTCATCTAACACATTAAGAGATTTCTTTTTTTCTTAGGGGAATAGTCATTTTTATAGTTAAGGTCATAAGTAACCATATATTGTAAAGTCAGCTGCAGTTTTACTTAATAAACCCAGATTATGCCAAGACTAAACCAATCTGCTCGAAATATAATTTGTCAGGAAAATGTTTTTTGGTGCCTGGCCTTAATTAAGCAAGGTGTTAATCAGACAAAAATGCTTGAGATACAGAGATCTGAGTGCTACTCAGAATCTTACGATTTTACTTCCTTAACTGGATTTTCATTTTATTGTTACAGAAATAGGTTAGATGATGAATTCCAAACTAGTTATTTTCTGGTGTTCTGCAGCACTTTCTCCTTCTAGCCAAAAGCCCGCAAGACTTTTAATCAGACCATCTTTTTATAATTAAAAAGTATCATTTGCACTTATTCATCATTTCAATTTGTGCCACGAAGAAAAATCTGTCCCATAAATCTTGATCTCTCCACTGGTTAAAAAAACTTCCAGGTATTTCATATAACTTCCCAGTGTGGGACCACAATCTCACTGCTCGCATTCTGATACACTCACCGTATCTTCTCAGAGTGAACCAAAAATTCATCTATCAGCTCAACTGAGCTCTATACCAACAATACTGATTATTATTTCCCAGAAATTATAACAGAGTGCAACATTTCTATTTGCTTGCAAGGTTTCTGAGAAATTGCAGTTTCTTGAGTTGCGTAGGGGATACCATGAGTGGAGTCATTTCCACGGCCATTTCTAGACAACTCTAGCCAGTTTGTAGGTAATGCTTATTTACTGTGTCAAACATTAGGATATCGAAGGACAACTCTACTGAACAGATCAGTCCACTGCCTTCAAAGGTCAGGGACATCATGTTGGATGCACAAGAAGGGAAGTACCTGATTTATTAGATACACGCACATAAAGAATGCACATAATACTTCTATTGTGGGATTTTTTTGCTTGGATTTTTTTGTTTGGTTGGTTTTGTTTTCAAATTTTGAGAAAAAGGTTATGACAGGGCAGAACCCATTCTGTTAACTTACAGGAAGAAAAATTTGAGAACTTTTCTTGACGCTGCCATCAGATTCGTATTTTAGATACAGTTTGATTTTTTAAGGAAGCCCTCAAATCACTATGGAAGTTGGTAAGGAGAAGTAGGTTATCTGTGGAAGATAGAGCACTCAATGTAAGGAAAGAAAGTCTTTCTAACACCACCAAATATGAAATTAACTCTTTTTTTGAAAATGCATTTCAGAAAAATTTTGAGCCTGCAACTGTGTGGTCTTTTAAAAATCGTAATAACAAAAAAATATGGAAGATATGAACAAGTGCTTGTTTGAAATGCCAAGCATACATTCAAGTTCTCACTTAGGTACAGCAGCTGCCTGCACTACAAATGTATTTGTAAAATCAAATTCATTCTGCAGAACTGATGGCAATGCATTGACTGGATCTTTCTACTGAATTATGCATATGGCAATTTTTCTATCATCTCACAATTTAATTTCATGCAATTTACATATGCTGATTAATAGCGCAACGTAAAGATGTATTTAATGTAATCTGCCACTGGTGTATAAATTACGTCTTGTATTGGTACTTTGTACTTTTCTTAAAGATTAACTTCAGTTAATGTTATATACCAGTTACACTGTCCTTTCACTTTTATGTATAACAAAAGACACGTACTAAACTACCACTTGCTTAATACAATTTCTATCAGTTACACTACTTCTAAATGAGCTTTTTTTAATCACCAAATTTGTTGCTTTACTGGAAGAAAATAGCTAGACATGGAAAAAAAAAAAAAGTGTTTTTATTTAAGGAGTGTTTAGAACATTCTAGGCCAGAACAAATACCAGGCATGATGTTTGAAGAGCAATTTTTATCAAGCCATCAGTTTCTCTACATTAATATATATTTCCATCACTTATAAAATGCAGTTCAGATATTGCTACTAATTAGTTTTGGCTGATACTGGAGTATTTTTTATGCCCCACTTATAAAAGCTGTTTGCCCATCTGTTAATAGGTTGGAAGTGATTAAAGGACACTTATTTTGGCTGTTGCAAAGGCCAAATCATTTTAAAGCTGCAAATATGTGACAAAATCAGCTAAAGATTTGCCAAGTTCAGGACCTGATTTTCCTAAAGGTTTGTGGTGTCTGCTTTCTCCCTCTTCTGCTTGAAGTGTCCGAGTCCTCAGTACACAAATATGAAATTTCAGCCTAGTAATTAATGATAGGCCACACCTACTAACTGTCTGAATACCTATACCTTCTCTTCTTGCCTATTGTTTCATCAATGCGAATAAAAGAGCAGAAAAATGAGACATAGGTGAATTCAGGTAATATCAGAGCAAAGACAAGACAAAAGAAGTAAAGAATTGCATGAAAACTGCAGTCACATAGAGTGAGCTGGCAATCAACAGCAAACAAAAATCTCTAATAACAGGAGAGTTGTGCATGCCATTTTTATGAGATAATTGAAGCCTTCCATCTCACCTTCGGAAGAGTATTTCAGTCACATATTTTTCTGAATTATATGAATAAGACTCATGCAAGAATCTGGAATAACTCCTGTATAATATTTACATCCTATGGCCTAACTGAAGGCAAATTTCACATACTGAACTATATCCTGTTCTTTTTCCACATAATTTGATGTTTTAAAATATCAGGGTAGAACTCCAGCTGACCCTTATTCCAGGAGAAGAGTAACAACAGAATTGTGAAAAGAGTTTTCAAGCAGATATTGTAACACTGGCTGCTCTGAAATTCCCTGAATAACTTACTCTAAGAATTTCAAAGGTAATATCAAAGGGAAAAGACCAGTTACTAATTCTAGACTTACTTGCTTCATCTGCAAAATTAATTTTATAAACGAGCAACATGAAGTGCTATCGACGTACATTAAAGGCATACCACCTTCATTGTATTTCTCTAATGGAAAATCTGTCAAGTGCATTCTTTAATGATTATATGACTTAAAAACTCAGCAAATGAAAGGATTATCGCTGAAATCATATTAATCGGCAGAGGATTAACAGCCTACTGTTGAAAGACTTCATGAACTGCAATAGGAGATGATTTGAAATTAAAAATGCAAAGAGCTCCACACATAAATATTGCAGAACTGTAGATATCGAAGCAGAAAAAGCAAAAAAGGATTGAAACAAAGGCTACTGATGTGAATAAAATCTTTCAGCATCAAAACTAAAACAAAACTTTAAGAAACATGTTATACTCTGTAACATCCTTACCGCTTGTGTACAGTTTACTCTTTTCCTTTCTAAGTTTGTGTAGCCAATTGTCCTCTCATTCTCACTTGTAATTCCGAACACATTTAGACACATTATATGAAATGTTTTTCACGAATGAAACACATTGCTATTAACCATTCTGAATCCACCAAAAGACTGAGAATGAAGTCTTGATTTCTTCCTGGTACGGTTTTCATTAATGGTCAGAAAGATTTTACAAAAACATTTAACTGTGCATAGCACAGCATCAAAAATTTGAGCACACAGATATATTGTTCTACTTTTCCTGTCTGTATAAACATAATGAAATTATAGCTAGGCATTTCCTGTTACTTCATGGCCAGAGTTCATCTCATCAAATCTAATACAACAGCTATTCATATTCATGAAAATATTTAAGGATGTGTTTGATTTTAGCTTTAGTGCATATTTTAGGATATGCCTGAAGTTAGGCACATACTTAAAATGCCATGCTGAATTGGAATGTAGGCAGTTGTATGCTTACCTGAGCTGAAGTTAAAAATTAAGCATATGCTTAAGTGTTTTTCTGAATACAGATGGAACGCTGAACGGGAGCCCAGTGATTACTCACAAGTGTCAGCATGTTCCTAATCCAGAAATTATCACTACACAAATAAAATCGGAAGATATGCATATACATAATCAATGTATGGCTGACTAGAATTTTGATGACCAACTAATTACAATTCTTGCAGACATAAATAGGAAAAACGATGAAACACTGCTTAAATTCAAAGACATATCCCAAATTATTCACTCAGGATGTTCACAGAAGACAAAATATGACAGTAAAACAACATGGATGAATAAAGAGAAGCTGTAATGACAGACACAACAGCTTTAACTTTCAGCTGAAGACAGTTTTCAACATTAGTGAGCTTAATTAAGCTGATCTTATAGCTTGGTACCAGAATTTGCCCAGTATTCTGAGGACACGGTGATATTAAAAAAAAAAAAAAAAAAAAAAAAAAAAAAAAAATAGATCTGGCTCATCAGACCATGTGAACCAGACCCAGAATCGTCATGCTGATGTTTTGCAACTTAATAACATTGCAAATCTATAGATTCTATTGGAAATATTGTGAATGCATGACTAAGACCCATTCATGCTTTCTAATTCCTTTGTCAGTTTAAATACAAATTTCAATAAGAAAAAACATTGGAAAATAGAATTGAAAACAAGTCAGTTTCATCTGCCATTTTAACAAAAGATTAATAGGAAAAAAAGCACCTCCATTTTTTCTTTTCTATTTTACCACCCGATGCAGCACATTTCTTTTTGTTGGTTCGGAAGTCTACCTGGAAAGACAGAAGAGACAAAAGATCTAGTGAATTAGGTACTCCCTGTTTATCTACTTTTGGTTCTAATTCTAGCATTGTCTTATATAATCAATACGAAAACACACAAACACAAAATGTTTTTCCTCATAGAACCACTTGTGCAGATGAGTTTGATTAGCATTTGTTGTGCTATATTTCTGCTCTGGCTAACTCCTGGAAAGGATATGTCCTCTGGTAAAAGTAAAAACACCAGCATATAATGGAATAACCTAACTATAACCCATCTCAGTTGCCCTTATCTAGTATGAAATACGTCTTTTTTCATATACATTTTCAGGCTGTATTTACTGATGATGAATATCACACACTGTTTTTACAACCCATTGATTCAGTATCATGAGATCTAACTACAAGGTAACTGAGCTGCAATAAAATCTTGAAAGCAGGGGAAAGGCTGATAAAAAAATAATGATCTCTGCCTATCTCACACTTTACCTTTCAGATGCCTTTTTTTTTTAGGACATTCTGATTGGCATGCAATGTTAAGATATGCATGCAATGTTAAGATATGCATGCAATAGGGATATAGTAAGAACTGTGTCCTGATCAGCAGCCGGCTACATGAATGTTTTTTTATGTTCTTAGTATATTCCAGCTAGATTATCAGTACTACAGATGATATCAGGAATTTCCCTGTCAGTTAAGGACAGGGGATTTGCACCTATCCAACTCACAGACAAGTCCTATTGATTCCGTGCTGCCTTCCCATACACTGTTGGCTACATCACCGTCCCTAGTCTCGTTTACTGAAACTAGAGTCTCACGTGTAACTGTATACTAGTCTTGCTATTATCTACCATCTTAGGCCCTACATTGCTCCACTCCTGTTATCTCAGACCAGTCCACAGTCATGCTATTCTCCCAGCTCATGGGATAACACTTTCTCTGATTCTTCTTCTGCCCTGATCTTCTTGGCTTCTGTCATTAATTTTCACTACCTCCTGACTGCAGCCTCTCTCCACAGGGCCATCTGTCTCAAGACACACTGATATGAACATGTTTCCTGTCCACCCCTAAACTGTTTTTCTTTCAATGGACAAAGTCCTACTATATTTTAGAGTCCATTTAGGTGATGAGTCAATTTGAGAAAACTAATCATAATAATTCTGATTTCTGAACTGTGTTGATGCCAAATTTAGAGCAAATCAGGTGTTTGCTTTTGGAGTACTTCTCTGCACAAAACATTTTCATTAATTTTCCAGTCACCAGAAAGTTCTGATAAGCAACTAACAAAATATTATTTCGTTTAAAAAACCTTAGTAGTATGTGCTAAATTAATGCTGGCAATGCATTAAGTATATCTTTTTTCAAGAATGATATTTAGCAAATCTACACATGGTGCCTAAATAGGAGACACCAACTACCATTTTTTAATCAAAGACGGCCAGTTTTAAGTTTTCAAATCAATGCACAGACTTGTATTGCAGATTTCAACCACTGAGGTATAGGTTACCCAAATGCTAGAAAAAAAAAACTTTTTTTTTGTTTTTAAACTAAGTTACTACATTTAAAGTAAATGCTATTGTACAAAGAGGGCCTGGCACTGTACACCCTTTAATTTTTTTGGATTATCATCCATCAATTAAATGTTATCTCCAGGGAGAATTAAAATGAATGCTCATTACCAGGAATAGCCTTATTCCTGATTTTTATAGTTACGTTGTTCTTTGGTCATTTACTTAAGAAGTCGTCTGTTATTACTGAGCAGCTGTGGTGAATTCAATTGGTTTTCATACTATTTTACCATATTTTCGTTTTCACATCTGTTTTTGACCTAAGAATCTGAGTCCTAAAATGATTCCTTCCAGATCTAGAGTGGTTAATACCCATCATCTTATCAGACTATTCATTCGTTTGGAAACCTTGCCCAGCATATGAGGTGTATGATGGCAGGTAGCCTACTTTTTACTTCATGTTGTGTAATATCAAGACAGTGTCTAATAAAGCCTCCATCAATGATTTAATAGGAAGATGAAACTAAACTTCTTGTGCAATTGAGATGTGAATTGATAACTTTATACAGTCTGAGTGTTAATATCAGCTTAGGAGAAAATAGGAGAAAAAAAGTGGACATAGAAGTGAGATACACTTATTATCTTCATAAGACCTCATTCTCCAAAAATGTGTTTCTGGGCAAATGTACAACAATAAAGTGATTTTGCACATTTCTGAGTATAAATGTTTAATTCAGTGTAAAATATATACCTGATGACTTTCTAAGTTGCTTCAAATATGTCTTACTAATGAAGATGAGATTTACCTAATGCTACAAGACCTCATCCGAGCTATTCTTGGGTTCTCCAGCTGTGCTTATTGGTATGTAATGCTAACAAAGGAAATTAACACACCACTGAATACAGAATAAGGATTTGCCAGGACCAGATCTCCAAATACATTTGATATTAAAAAAAATCAAGTATCAAACATATGTAAACATTGCTTATTTCAAAAATGGACAGTTTAAAAGATAACCTTTGATCTGCAGTCTGCTACCTATAAAACCTAATGAAGCAGGGAGAAAACTATTTTTCACCTTACTTGAAGTATTCTTTTTAAAGTATGATTTATCTTACATTACTTTCTTAAAGTAAGTTTGCCACTTAGTTTGAAGTACATGCCCTTTTAACTGTAAGGAAAATCATAACAATCCCTGAGAAATAGATGAGAAATATACACAGAGGTTTTCTTTGCAATCTTTGCACTTGCCATGATATTTAATACACTGCTACAACAAAGGAATCAAATGGCTTTATCGTCTCAGAATCTTCCATACAAGCCAGTGCAGTGAAACATGTGTTTGAATCAGAAGGAGCTGTTCTCACTTCACATTATGATGAGCCACTTGCCAATTGAGTTCAGCCTCCTATCTCCCAATTGCAGAAGGAACTTAATTGGCTATTGCAGCAATCTGTATTCTGATAAGGTTGCTGAGAGAAGGAAAGAAAAAAAAAAAAAAGAAAAAAAAAAAAGCGGAAAACCTGTTTCATTTGAAGACTGCAAATCATGTTTTTCTTCTACAATCCTCTGTTTGTGCTGGTCCACCTACTCAGCATGCAGACCTCCTTCAAGCAACCATTACTCTAGATTTCTCATTTCTTCCTGGGACCATCCAAAAGTTCACAGTTCCTTTTCTTTACTTCCCAAACTAACTTTGAAGTCTCCGATACGTGACTGTTGTGGTTTAACCCAGCAAGAGACTAAGCACCACACTATCTTGTACTCCCCTCTCTCCCAGTGGGAGAAGGGAGAGAATTAAAAAAACAAAATACAACTTGTGTGTTGAGATAAAAATATTTACTAAGATAAAGATATAACTGTTATGAATATATATATTTATATGAATGTACATAACAAGGAATGCACAAGCAATTGCTCACCACCTGCAGACTGATGCCTAGCTAGCCCCAGTGAGTAAATAGAGCAAGATGAACTCCCACTCCCTTCAGAACTCCTTCTGCATAATGTTGTATGGTATGGAATACACCTCAGGCCAGTTTAAGTCAGATGTCCTGATACTGTGCCCTCCAGTCTCCATGGGCCCTCTGCTGAGAATGGCCTAGACTCTATACAACACAGTTTAGCATCAACTATAAACATCAGTTTGTTTATATCAATTACTTTTCTCCTAACAAACCAAAACTTAATAATCATACCAAACACCCTATAGAAAAGAATTCCACCCCAGCTAAAACTAAGACAGTGTCCCAGCAGCTTGTGCATGCTTTCATCTGAGGCTGCCTCCCTCCTATAAATTCAAAGTTTTATTCCGCCTGAGACAAGTGTGGCCTGCAATAAAGACCTTGCTTCCACTTCACAAGCCACCTGTTATCTTCTTCACCAACCTGCCAACTTCTCTGTTGCTTCCCGGTCCTGCTGCTCCCCAGCCCACTGTGCCATCTGCACAGCAGGAATTCAGAGATAAACTTACCAAGTGTTAGAAGTCTCAGCTTTGTCTCAGAGATGTTGTGGTTTTGTGAGAAGAATAATTATTCTGGAATAAAAGTAACTTTCATTTAAGAATAACGTCTGCATGGAAACTGACTCCAGAACTGGAGTAGAAAACTTATTTGACTCTAGTTCTGGCTTGTCTGCTTCCTCCTTTATATGGAGAACATGAACTACTTCTGAATAGTAACAGTTTTTTTTTTAGTAGAACAGGCTAGATATAGACATAATCATTTCATTAAATTGAAAAAAAGTATGAAAAGAAATTTAAACATCAGTAACATTTCTAGTATTTTGTAAGTGAGGAGAAGCTGAAATACAGCATTCTAAAATTTGTGGTTCTGATGACTGAAAAGCCTTTTAAGTCTTCTCTGCCATCATAATAATAAATTAAAAAAAAAAAACAAAAATATTAGAAATGAAAATGTAGATCACATCACAGCATACAAGAACATGTTGAAAGGAGCTGTGGAGTTGTATGAAGCACTGGAAGAGGTAACTATGTTGCAACCAGAGAAAAGATCTACCTTGTTTATCATAGCCAATATTAGGTACCATGCCATAGAAACTCAAGACCTTAGTCTTGGTTTCAGGGCCCCATGATGATGAACTCTGATATAGGGTAATCATTAGCCCAGATAGTTACCAATTGCAGTAAAAAAAAAAATCAAGAGGCAATAGAGAAATACAGACAGGTGAAGTAACATGAGGAAATAATGAATTGATTTTGTTTGCCATGATACAGAACTGTCACAATACTTAATGGTTGTAATTATTGAACAGACAGTATGGTGAAGGTTAATCTTAAGAATGAAGAGAAAGTGCATTAAAGATCATGTTTTGGACTACCTACAAAAAGTTTCTGGTAAGCCTACCAGGTAGCCCAGAAAAAACACCTACAGTAGCATGCTGGAACCTTGCATCATTCATCAGTAAGAAGAATAGAAGCTGATCACTCTATTTTAAATCAGAGATGATAGAGTGGAAAAGGATGTTTCACATTTTGTTCAATTCAGATTATTATTATATCCTGTTTAAACTGGTGAATTTGAACTATGGAACCACTCTGCATGATAAGCACTAGAACTCTTTATCAGCCTTGAATCATAATTCAAGCTAATTCACAGCTAGCTTTGAAAGAGCTTCAGATTTAAATAACTGTGTCTTATTTTAGGTCGAGTGCAAAACTGTAGTAAAGTGAAAATCACAAGCAAACCAAGCTATCCCAATACTTAAAACATCACCATTATATCCCCTTCCCAAAGAAAAGAAATCAATAACTGAAAAACAGATTCTGGTGTGGTAATACCTTATCTACAACCCTTTCTTTCTCATACACCTTTTTGAAAAAGATTTTATTAAGTATATTTTGAAGTTTAATGTACTACTCTTTCTGGTTTTATTTATCAGAGAATACATGAAAGCCACTTTAAAGAAACAATGAATGCTTGTATACAGACAAGCAGAGCTTCAGGCACTTTCTGAGCACTGTCACTGTTTTACCCAGATTCATACGACATAGCAATCTATGTTGCCTCTTCTCATTAAATAAAATACAGTCAGACACGCAAATATTCTGAAACATCTTCATTCCTGTGAAATGTTGAGTAACAAATATGTCTGCACATGACATGCTTTCTAGTCTTTCTTCCTCAGTTCTTGTCCATATTTTAATGGCTTTTCTTTTCGCTAGATTAGGTACTATAGTTGATTTCATCACATATAAACGCCATGAAGCATGTAAGGAAACTTCGTAACTCACCTACCAGGAGTACAGCTGTTGTAAACAGAAAACTGACTTGAAGTTAAAAATAATTGAAAGGATGTTCTTCAAAATCAGCTATAAGAACAACCTAACTGCATTGGCAATGAAGGCCTATCATCAATGCCTCTGTGGAGGTGGCATCCTAGTTATGTTATCTACACAGAGAAAGAGTACCATCATGTCTTTGGATTATGAGTCCACTGCAGGCTCATTCATGACATCAGAACATTTCAAGATTTTGTAGCTTAGTTTTGTTTAGTTGTAAAACAAAATCAAGAATCTAGCGCAGTGGCTAAGGATTCACTTAGGTTGTCACAAAGTCACATACAACAGAATGCCCTGAATGAATCAGCACAGTGATTTTCAACTTCAGCCTACCCAAATAAACCCTTTGCAAGTTTGACTTCAAGAGTGAGTAAGCATTTTTGTTTTTCTCATTTTCTCCCCACAGCAGACATTTTAGGTCTTGAGAAATTCTTCTTGACAAAAATACTATTGAAACTCATTTCTGGAAGAAAACACTCCAGCTGGAAAGTTTCAGGGTTTGCCTGAAGGCAGGTTATGTTTATCAGTCATTTGCTCCTTGTAGAAGAAATGTTGGCTCATTCTTATTGGAATAAGAATATTTTCAATAAGTGCTACATGGTAGTCAGCCTTGTTTCCTCCTAATGCAATTGTTTTCAGCATAGCTAAACTGACCTGAACATAATTTTAAGTCATTGTATTTGTTGGAACTCTCGTTAGCCTCTTAAGGCTGTACTACAATGTTGATAACTACATATAACAGGCAAACTTTCATTTAGCTTTTAGGCATCATCAATATAAGCTTGTATCTGAGACTAAATATCCTTAAGCATGCCATTAATTTTGAAATAGACTTCAGAATACTGTATTTTCATTGAATTACCTCTAGAGACATGCTGCCACTTTCTGTCCCTGGAATCTTGTATCATTCTCACTGTTTAGTGCCGCTTAGCAAAATATCCAATGAAATATTACCAAAATAGTCCTCCCAAAGCATATTACATTCAATAATTCTATTCAATATTGCAAACTAATTTCTAAACTCTGTGTCTTTGTGGAACAATATCATCTAAGACATCTTTAGACTACCATACTGTCTAGTGAAGTTTTCAAACCAGAAGCAACAATACGAAGGACCAGTTTGCAGCTAACTTCCAAAAACCCACTTGTAAAACACAGTTTAAGACAGAGAATGAGGAATCCCCAAAATACAAACATGAGATGTTTAATATGCTTAGAAACCCATGCTATCATGTGCGGAGTTAAGTTGTCCATCAGTATGGTCACTCAGCATTCATGCACTGACTGCATTAAGTGCAGAGAAATGGCTGCTAGAATAATCAGTGCAATGAAGAGTGTCTCAGATGAGAGGAAAGAAGAAGTATTTTGACCTTTTTCAGTCCAGAGAGATAAAGTCTGACAGGGGACACAAGTGATTCAGGCAGGAGTGGGCGTGACAAGTCAAGAAGGGAGATGAACTGTAACACCAAATGACAATGTTGGCATGATACTAAGTCAGTACAAACTAGCCATCCCTAAATTTAGGGTGAAAGCTGATTAAGGTTTCTAAGCACCCAAGGAGACTAGAGCTGTTTTCCCATGGAAGTACTGTTTAAAGAAAGAAATAATAATAACTACGTGAAAAACAGTGTTACACAAGTAACATCTTGTGTATCTAAATGCTACAGTTGCCTTCAGCAGGAAAGTCCTGGATTTATCAGATAAAAATGTATCTGTTCAAAGTCACTCTCGTTTCATGAATTAACTGAGTCTAAGGGCAGTTTACAAATAGGATTGAATTACAGTAAAGAAATAAAAGTTTGTGTTCATACAAAGCCTATTTCACAGTGCTTTCCAAAGAATACAGAGAACAATTATCCAACCTCATTTATCTGAGGATGAATCATTTAAAAGCAGCTATAATTATATGATGCTTTTAGGAATAACATCTCCCAGATCAAGAGGTGATAGAATTTCAACTGTCACTACCCAGAATCCTGTCTGACTTAATTCAAATCATCAAACCTCCTCTCATCTCCTATATTCTCTTTGTTCACAAATAGAGTTTCCTTTCTGAGAACAAAAGAAACATTTAAAGAAAAAGGAAACCTTCCATTCTTGTTTCTTGCCAGCCTTTCAGACCTCACAAGGGTTTTCCAGCAGCCTAAAATATATTTACAACCCAAGCCATTCTACAATTATATGACCTATTGACTTCTAAGGTGAGAGAGAAAAAATTAAGTATGGAATTTATAGTACAACAGCTGCACGCTACCTTACAGTACATTTAACATTTAATTTTTGTCACTCAGAACATACAATGACTGCACATCACCATACATTAAAAAAACTGAAATACACATTTATTTATGGACATAACCATTTGTAACTATAAAAATTTGAGAATCAGTCTTTGAAATGTTAAAATATTTTTAAGAAATACTTGTTAAAATTACTATACAGGTATGGTAATTTTAACTACGCAGTCACCACACTACATTTCATGAGGTTAGGTCAAATAAATGGCCTTAATAGCCATTGGGAAAAAGCTTACACATTTGGATGTGGATTGTAAATATCAAATCTGCAAAACAATGATAGCCATTCCATGATGATGTAAATTCTGGAAACGTGTGAAAAACTAGTTTGTCCATGGTAATTGGTTGAGCATAGTTCTCAAAATAACTGAAAAGTACCTACTAAGCTAATTATGTTTTGGCCCAAAAACTTGGCTACTGCTTCAACTATGAGTTTTGTTACCATGCTTTGAAAACACCATCTAGACTATAAATTCTCATGTAGAAAGAGAAATTTAGTATTAAAATATTTCTAATCTGTAATGTACACAGAGTTGATCTATTCTCACCAACACTCAGTCACTTCACATACCTTCTTCAGTTTCACATGTTTTTGGCTCATCTGATCATCTTCCTTCACAGGAACCGGTGCAACCACACCTCTCCAGTCCCAGTATGTTTTACCTGTTGAGAAGATATACGTGGTTTTGAAAAATGTATCATTTATCTAAATTATATCATGTTATTTATTTACATTCAAGTTACTGAATTTCTAGTTGCAAATCGCCAAACTGGAATTGACATTTACCTCCTACGTGATGAGTCAAGAGTTTCCAAAATACATTTCAAATATTATCATGCTCATTTTGTGGATCAATGAGCAAAATCTCCAAGTCAGCATCTCATTGCATAGCTTTTAACGCAGCCCTTTCAATATTTTCAAAGGAAAAACTGCAAGTCTCATTTTATATCGATAGCCTCCATAGAAAGGCATAAAAGAAGCTCTGTATTCTTCTATTCACCTTATCATGGAAAGAATTAGAATGGCTTCCTGTTTTTCTCTTAAAGCTGTTGGCTGCAATGTTGACTGTAAAACCTCCATCTCTTTTGTTTCCTGAAAATTACCTAACTTGTGAGCTTCTTTCAGATTAAGGCTGAAAATGGGAACAGAGCTGCTTTTCAAAGAGCCATCCTGATTTCATTTAACTGCAACTTCACCAAAGTCGGAGAAACGCATGAATTCTTGTGCCAAGTCACAACGTACTTCTTACTCTAATATGATAATTTCTTTAAAACATTTCTAATGGTAAAGTACACATGCATTACTTTTCTAAGAAAAACTATACCTATCAGCTTCAACTAAGCTGAATTCCTTCCTCCAAGACAACTTCATTCAATGAAAAAAAAAAGCATGCATTACTTCAAATCATGAGTTGCCAAATTACATTGTAAAATAAATTACTTAGTTATCAAGTTATCAAAAATAATCTTACTTTTTTTTTTTTTTTAATAAATGTACAACTGTAAGCAGTTGTTCCATCACATGGTAGCAATTGTTACGTTCTATACAAAAGAACACAAATTTGAAACTGTAGAATGCTTAACATATATCATGGTGATTTTGATACTGACAAAGTGAAAGAATTTTCTGCTCTTTCGAAGAAAAAACAATCTTGATTTCAGCGAATGCACTATGATATCAGGGAGATCAAAGATATCTCAGTAGATTAGATAATTTCAGGAAAACCAAATAAAATTTGGCTAGTGAAATGAAAATCTTAAGCACAGAAGTTTGGCCTATTATTCACATCAAAATAGAGCAAACATACTAAAAAGAATCAATATTCTTTTTGTCCAGGCCTCATTCTCCAAAAACAGTGTACTTTCATCAAAAGAAAATATTACATGTAAATAGATACAGAGATATCTGCAGTCTCCTCCTCTCTACGTTGGCTGAACTCTTCAAATACGAAGTTTAATTTAACTTGCACTTTTTAGTGTCATAATTAATAAAGACTCTGGCTATTCTTGCTGGTTTATATTTTGGTATCAATAATTTACCTGAAAAAAAAAAATCTCAAAAAATAATTACAATTTTGTGAAAAGTATGGATTTTTACTTAATTATTCAAAAATCCCTTTTGCTTTCTTCCGCCTCCATCCCGTGTTACTATGAGTTATTTTTCATGTTTTCACAGCAGCGCACCACTGAAGGGAGCGCATGAAGATGGAATTTCTTGATCGATTTTTTTCATTTTCATTACTACTTAGCATGCCTGAGACATGCATACCTGCTTAACCATTCTCTTTCTGTAGCATAATCATCTCTTCTGAAACTATTTCCGAATGAATTTTGTCCAGGGGACTGTAAAAGGACCGTTTTCTTCTGCCACATGTTTTTTGGAATGCTGTGTCTAGTACTGCAGAACTGTTCATATTCATCATTAACAAAATAATACGCTTTCTTTTATTCTACAGGTCACAATGATTACATTTACTGACACAGGAGCTTACACCTCTACCCAAAACCAACAAAAATTCTGTAATTTCATTATGTATTCATTGATGGAAAAAAGATCAAAAGCACTAGGGAATGAAAACTAAAAAAGCTGTTCTACAAATGGTTAAGACTCAGGTCACGTTCATCTGTTTTTCTGGTCTTTCAGATACTTCCTGCAACTTCTGCCATCTAGATCCATCATTCTCTCTAACATAACCAGTATTCCTGCAGGGAAATGAAATGGTCTCTTGGCTGCTCCCAGGAGAGGTGAGTTTACTAAACACTAAATTACTTGAGTGACCTGTTAGACTGCAAACAAAAAAACCAGCAAATTTGGTGCTCTGTATTTGATAGAGCAGGCACAGTTCACCATTAGAAAACATCCAGCTAAACAATATTTACCCCATATTTGCAATAGGAAACGGGATTTAAAGATACAGCTCTTTCTTTTGTAACTTCTATAAATTTGAAGAAGCACATTTTTTTAGTGGGATGGATTTTACAGTTTCTGACTCTCTCCATGAATGCCTAACTAATGGAATCCACTGCAAAGTTCAGTTATTTGAGCAACTTCTAGAAATTGCAGTCATCATGGAAACACTGCAGAGCATTGCTTATTTCCTGTTTTTTTTTTGGTTTTTTTTGGTTTTTTTTTGTTTTTTTTTTTTTTGTTTTTTAATCAATCCCTCCTCTACTAAATGAAGACATAGATGAAGAATGCCTGATATAGCTTGGTATGAAAAATAAAGACATTCTGTAGTTACCACATGCACTATCCTAATGTAAATGCTGGAATGTGATGGGGATCTCTGATACCTAGTTTACTCACATTGCTCAGAAAAGTGATTTTCTGTTACCCACAAAACCACTACCTTGGAGCCTGAGAATTTACTAAGTATCAGCATTAACAAACAAACAAAACAAAACAAAAAAAAAGGTTTGAGAAAAAAAATAGGTATATATCTTTTTGCAATTCCAGGGTCCAGTGTGTAAATATTCAGTTAAAAAGAAAAAAAAAAAAAAAAAAAAAAAAAAAAAAACAAGAAGAAAAAAAAAAAACAAGAAATGCACAAATTCCTGGTCATTATACTTTCCCAAGTAACACTTCTGAATTAGACCATGACCATTTTGATCTCATGCACTTTTTCCTAGTCACTTTCCAAACAGAGTTTCAGTAAGGTCAGACAGGAGGATTTTGACTTCCATGGGCCCTTTAAAAGTCAAATATTGTTGTAGGAAGCTTATGATATATGTATCTGTGTGATCCAATAATCAGGTGAGAAAAGCCAGAGTTTAAAGAAAGCTTCTCTCAGAAGCACTGGTCCCAGCTCCTCTTTTAATTCAGAAATCAATGTTGGAAAGAAGAGGAGGAAGTTAATAAAAACTCACAGCTAGCTGCTCTCCTGTAAAACACATCTGATTTGTATCTATGATGCTTATAAGCAAGTATTAGCTAGATGATAAAACTAGAAGTTTATTATTAGAAGTGGTTAGGTATGACAGACACGATTAGAAGTTCATTGTCTAAGTATATGTATAACTCAAATGAAGGATGGGGCTAGTGTAATAACATAGCGCTAGAGAACTTAATTGAAGAACTCCAGTTTTGTCCATGAAGTCAAATGCTAAGTGCTTTCAGAGCAAACAGGAAAATATGACAACCAGAATCTGGAAATACAAAGCAGCCCTAGAATGCACGAAGTTCATACTGATGTTTGTATCTATTCTGATACATTTTACACTGACAGGTTAGCGTAAATAAGTTGTGGTTCATCAGTGCAACGAATGTGAGATTCTGTTCCCTGTCTAGATTGCAAATTCCATTACTTTCATCTTAAATAACTTTTCAGAGCAAAAAACAAAAAAAAAAAAAACAAAAACAAACAAACAAAAAAGTATTTCATGTTTTTATACATTATGTATTTTGTATTTTTACTATATTTAAAATACATTTTATGCTAGTTAGCTTTTTTCCTTGAGACAGTTTCTTTGAGATCAACTTTAAAAGCAAATAAATACTCAATTGTCTACTGGGGTTCTGAGCAACCTAAGAACTTAACTTCCATGCAGATCAATAGAACAATTAAAACCTGATGGGATTTCCTAAAATGTCCAGGACTCAGACTGCATTTTTACATGCCACAACATTATTGAATTCTGACTTTTTAGCCTCTGGTCTTATTCTATTTTGAGAATATATTTTCTTACCTATTTTGGCATGGACAACGCTACTTCACAAACTGAGAGCCACTTGTGCTCACACATACATACTAGAGCTATCATACTCCAAAAATCATTATTTCTATTCTCAAGCTCTATCATCCTCTTTCACTTACCATTTCAACTTTCAACCTATGTTAGTCCATTTGACTTATTGCATTTTTACTCTGTATTTATCAATGTAAATTAGATTTAACCAACACCACTATTGCATTCATCTTTATTTTCGCCTGCAGACATGTATTTAAGTTACTTCAGAGCTTGTTAAGGTTTTCCAAATGCAAGAATTCTGTTTTTGTAGTCTAGCAATTATTGAAATTATTAGTTCATTGCTTAAACTCATACAGATTCTTAACTTTCTTTTTTACTGATTGGTTTGTCAAAAACTCTTGTAAGAATGAAAATAATTTTCTTACAGCTAACCTCTTTTCCTCAACAAAAGCAGGATTGTTGTTCTTCCTAACGTCACAGCTACTGCTGGAAATATAATTCCAGTGCCAAATGGCCAATGTAAGATGCAATTCTTCAGTTTATAGAAATAGCTATTCAATTTACAGTAATTAAACCTTTGGTGACTACTGTATTAGCAAGTGTAAGCACAATCATAGAACCTGGAAGGGATCTTAAAGATCATCTTGTTCCAAACCACCCGCTGTGAGGACACCAGCCCTCTGATCATCTCTGTGGCCCTCTTCTGAACTCACTCCAACAGCTCCACATCCTTCTTGTGTTGAAGACCCAGATCTGGGGGCAGGTCTGGATGCAGTATTTCTAGCAGGGCATCATATAGGCAGAATAAAAGGGGATAATCTACTCCCTTTCCCTACAGGCCACCTCTCTTTTGATGCAGACCAAGATGCATTTGTTTTTCCAGCCTGTAAACACATGCTGTTGATTTGTGTCAAGCTTTTCATAGAACAGAACTTCTAAGACCTTCTCTGCAGGGCAACTCTCAATGAATTCTT